CAGTCGTTCTCAAAATATGGTAAATGTACCAGTGGTTGTACTTGGACTTCCTCTAATAAAACACAGGTTACCGTAATTATTATTATTTATTTTTTATGTTTTAGCAATATAATGGAGGTTTGCATGGGCACTCAAAATTTGAAACAAATGTTTTTCTTTATAAAAACCCTATTTTAAACACTTTTCTTAGTTGGAGACACACACGCACCAACAGAGTTGACTGGAGAGAACACAAACATTTAAGCATCTATAATTAAACATCAACAGTATGATGCACACTAGATACTGAGAGAAGGTCTGTGTTTATGCTAATGGATGTCAGACAGCAAGGCCGCTGACTCTCTGACTCCATCCATTAATAATGTGACAAGATTACAGAAGAGCACTTGGTTTGAACCAAACAATGACAGTTCAGGTAAACAACAGCCCTTCAGTGGACTGCCACAGTGCTATGAAAGTAGACTGTAAGTGCATGTCTGGTGTGAAGTAGTGATGGGTGTGTGAATGGATTTGTTTGTTTGTTGATACTTTGTTTTTCTCACAGCAGTGGTCTTGTCTGGATTGTTTGCTAACATGCTTCTGCATGAGTGGAGACGTGCCTTCACAAGGACACAGTCAACAGAGAGGAAAGTTGTTGGGAGGTGCTCTGAAATGTAAAAGGAAAGGTTAAAAAAAACAAAGGCAGATCAAATCAATTTTGTGAGTACAGGTCAATTTTATCCACACTTTTTCCCTCAGTGGCTGTTAAAATCTGTTATAAATGAAACATTGCTCCAAAAATATAAAAACAAAACAAAAGATAAGACTATTTCAGGATTGTTGATATTGAATATGTATGTATAAAAAATAATATATATAAAATAATATATATATTTATCCATCCATCCATCCATTTTCATCCGCTTATCCGTTGCTGGGTCGCGGGGGCAGCAGTCGCCACCCAAATCACATTGCATCGTACCAACCCCCCTGAACCTTCCTGTGGGTGGTGAGTCCACTGGAAGGTACCAACCGCCCTAACCGGGATTCAAACTTGCCCAGGAGGTGAACCCTGGGGTTCCACACCAATGACAGAGACATTGCCTCTGGGCCAAAGCGCCACATATATATTTATATATTATAATAATACATAAATATAAAACAAGAAAGCATTTGAGAGAGATAGAGTGTTCATTGCACCGTGCACCAGTTTCCCCCCAGCATTCTAGGCCTATACCTGCCTGTCCGATGCTGACAGATCACTTTAAACACAACTTTTGTTTTGTTTAAGGCAACCCTTCTCCTTAAAACGGTACAAACCTAGAAACAGTTTCAGACTTGGCAACTTTTCAGAAATGACGTGACAGATTTTTTCTGAATGTGAAACTGTGAGGGCCCAAGACCACACTGCCATTAACTAATGAGGACAACGGCTAATTGAAGTCCTGCTGGTGTAGCAATATCATTATGTGTTTAGTTGAGATGATGAGGTCAGAGGGAACAGTGTCAGTCATCTGTGAGTTAGAGTAAAAGTTAGGGAGTGAACTGTGGTTAGTTAAAGGTCAGGATAAAGTAAATAATAAATTGTAGTTTTGCATAAAAGAAAGCAAATGATTTCACAATCTCAGAAGAACAGCGTAAAAATGTGTGTGTGTAGGATTAGCGTTCCTTTCCAGTCCCTTGGCTGTAATCAGACGGGACATTGGCTCCATGATGACCCACAGCCCCCACCACCACCCACTGTGGGAGATGCCTCCATTCCTTTCACCCTGTCATGTGTGTTTGGCTGCTGCTCTCCAGAGCTGGGCAGTATGTTAAGAGTTAAAACTATTATTTATGCTCACATCACATTGTCCCATTATAAAAAAAACCTGCTGCTAATGGGAAAATACTGACAGGCAGCTAAGGGTAGAAGGAGGACTTCAGTTAGACTTGATCCAGGACCATGATAACTGTAAAATGTCCTATTTTAAAAAAATATATCACTATCGCTCTTGAAATGAGAGTGGACGATAAAATGGCTCCATCGCGGGGTGACAGTTTGAGGGTCGCCAGATAAACAAGCATCACTGATCAGGTTAGTCTGAGCTCCCTGACCCTACACTGGCCTGTCTGCTGTTAGTTTGACCTTTTACCCCTGCCGTTGTCTTACAGACGCAAACC